ATACCACACGTGTATATCTGGACGTGTATCCAAATAAATATTGTTGTAGAAACGTGGCCGTGTCGGTAATATCTGGGCGTGTTATCATGCATTATGAACTGGTTCTTGGTTGTAGGAAGACTATACATTCTACACAGTCATAATACGCGTAATTTGGCTATATCTTTTCGGTCGCATTTTGTTTACTGCTTTTATCACTTAAAGTTACCTGGGAGGACTTATCGACACTCACACAGTTCTCATTTAAAAGATTAAAGATAACTAAACATGAAATATCGGCATCCACGGTTTGATATAAAGTCGTGAACACCATGAAAGACAGCACATTACCACCATAACTTAGGAGAAACGTCGTGGTGTATTCCCCCCAATCCGAGAACGACAATCGTTGTATGTAATAGTTTTGTTTTACAACTGTCCATATTAATATTTTTTTTTTTTAAGACCCAACTTTATAACAAAGGAAAATCCTTCGCAGTTGATTTTTTCTGAAAATGATGACCGCAGTCCGTAACACAACCACCACTAGGGTGTCGTTCGGCAGGACGGCACCTAGTGACCTGTCCGAGTTGGTGTTTACCGACTGGTCATCATATCAGAAAATTAGACTGACATAGCATACTTTCCTCTGGTACAAGAGTTGTGTTTTTATCACAGGAGAAGATACATGCGGAGACGAGACCTGTAAGACGACGCATTACTCTATTCCACCGCAAACCTCACAGGTATACGGTCTCGACTTCATCGGAATACACACTCGCCGGTTCTTCCTACAGGAATTACGCGAGTAATATGGGTAATGGTCTGGTTCTTTGTTCACACTTATATCTCCACACGGTCGGTACTTTACGAGTATGTTACCATGATTAGGAGGTTACCTATCTTTTTATGAAACTGTCCTCGGTAGAATGTGTATAACATGTCTCCCAGGCTAACTTTAAGTTATACTGCCCGGTAAACACAAGCACTGTGTCCTCCCTCACTCTTCACTCCTCCCTCCTTCTTCCTACCCACTCTTCTCTGCCCTCCAGCGTTCAACAAATAGGGACCACTCCACTATTATTACTAGACTAGGCACAGGGAAGAGGAACTGGCACAGAAGCACATTCACTCCTGCAAGAACCACCTACACACACCTTTTTCTGCAACATATGGCCATTGATGTATAAAGAGAACTGGATAAAGCGTTGGATGTAGGACCTTGTTCAGTACTATGAAAGTCACTAAGTGCCGAATGAAGCAAAAAAGTTCCTAAAGCTACAAAGACCTTTGTAGTAAGGACCAATCCGTGGAGCCGTTACGCTACCTCTTCGGAGCCGTTACGTTAAGTCCGTGGATTGGTCCAAATTGACCAATCCGCGGACTTCCTCACACACACACACTCAATCTTTTCTCAGCTGCAGCTCCGCCGATTTCTCCTCCCTGAGACGGCGGGACGCGGCGAGGCTGTGAGACGGTGTGTGAGCACACACACAAACTCCCAGCCAGGCTGTGGGTGTGTGTGTGTGTTCGGGCTGGTTTCGGGCTGGGTTTCGCTGTCTCGCAGATGGCCACTGGGCTCATAGGGAGGGGGGGCAGGAGCTCCAACAAGCCGTTTAGGACAGAGTGAATACACGTACTATACAGAGATGCTGTATGAGAAACCAATGAGATTTTGGAAAATTGCACAATATAAATCTATTTTAGTAGACCTCAACAATGGAATTATGATCAGTAGAAATGGCCATGACATGGGACCTTTAACAAAGTTTGGCCACTTGGTCAAATTTACATCCAAGCTGGGCGTAAATTGTGATGAGCAGATCAGCATTATGTATTTGATTCAAGGGTCTGAGCAGAGAGCTTGTTGGGGCAATAGTTTGTTAAAGGTTGCTAGAAACAGACATATACAATATATAAAGACATAACATCGTTTTTACAAAAAACTCCCTTTTTGAGTCAAATGATCTGAACTACGTAGCATGCTTCAGAACAAGCTTGTATTAGAGGGCTGGACTTAATATTGTTTTCATTATTATTAATTTCACTATGACTTATTGGTTTCATTTACAGATGTCTTGACTTCATTTTGTGGCTATTCCCTAATTAGAACTGTAAACGGTTAACATACTGTCTTTTCATTTTAGTTTGGGCGTTTCTCATCTTTTCCTGGGTGCCACTGTTTAGCAGGTGCTTGAGTCAGGTCAAGTGTAAATCTGTGTTCCTCAGCCTTAGAACAGTACGCTTAAGGCAGCTGTGAATAGCTGTCCTGCATGTGCTGGCCAGAGAACTCATAAGGGACGAAGCCACAGATCACATGGTTAAAAACTGGTAGACATTTACAAGACATTGCAGAGCCTGTCCTTTCATTTTGGCTCGACACTCAGTCTATCTGACGTTCTGCATGTCTCACATAAAAATGCAGTGTAATACACCAACTACTAAGTCTAAGTGTATTCAGATGAGTGTGTGAGTTTCTGTGCCTTTTTGTGGCATTTACAAGAGATTTGTTGGAGAACGTGCATAGGACCTTTTTAATAACATAGAGAGATTACAGGAACATATTGTCATAATTATTTATTTACACCAACATCATAGATCAGAGTTCATTTGGTGTCTAATGGGGGGGTACTGAGAATCGTGCCCCGCGGGGCTGACCATAAATCAGCTTCACAGGGGGATATTTGATGACAAAGATTAACGCCTGTAAAAGACACCCTGAGCCTCAGATTCTTGCAACTGTCATCAAATACCCGCACGGCCATTAACAGGTCACGCAGGAGTAGCTGAGCTGAGCCTGCAACATCATCAGCACACCCACCCTCCTCCTGTCACCAGCTAAATCCCTCAACCCCCCCCCCGGCCAAGGCATTCTAGTGTGGAAGGCTTTTGTGTGTGAGAGCAGCAGGGGCAGGAGAGCCTCTTTGCTTCAACACACACTCCTCTCCTCTCCCCCCTCCATAAATCATGTGCTCCTTAAATTGAGAAACACTGCGACGATCCTCAATTCTCAACGGACATCTTTCACTGAAATCATACTGACTCATAGTGTTGACACATATTTTAAGGTCATTACAACATTCCTGTTTGAGAGTTCTCTTCAAGAAACTTGAGGCTGTTCGTTCACCGCCATTTGTAATTCTAATATGCTGCTCATCAGAAACAAACAGAACTCTTTTTTTGGCCTAACCCGTTTCTACGCCAAACCTCCAAATTCTGTGCAACTTTGTTGTCGCTGCCCAACATGATCTCACCTGTGGACGCCCCGGTTCGTATGCATGGTCACGTACGGCAGCCCACAACTCCCCTCTGAGCACGCTCAACCACGTGGTCACCCCGGCGGCCCGTATGTTAATGTCTGTTTCAATCACACAGGACGCTAAAACCACAGAACCGGCCTCTATGCAAATGCTAACTTCTGTGTTGAGTGCTCCAGGTTAGCCAATTCCCGAGGGGAGGGCAGAAAGGCAGCGGGTGGAGAGGAAATATATGGTAAATGTTTAATGTAATCCACTCTTATTTAATGCATTTTGCTTTAAAATAGTTTCGCTGAAAAACGATCTATATCCCATTTGACTCGAAGTCTCCTATCTTAAGGTCATTTTAAAGAGGGCTGCACTGCACTTGAGCTGGTGTTGGTTAGTTGAGACTTACCAACAATGTAAACACAGTAAACAATGTGACGGGAAAGGTCAGAAGCACTTGTAGTTGCTTGGAGTTTTCAACACCAAGCAACACGTGGAAAATGGAAGACTTGTGTGAGAGTGAGTGAGTTCAGGCACTCATAGCTTTGTAGAAACATTGCACTTTGGAGTCTTACCTCATTGAATTAAATGTTTGGCTTGTTAAGCCGCAACATACACTTTTATACATTTGGTTTTTTCTCACTCTCCGTCACTCATGCCTCACTTTTATAGTGTATGTCTATATTAGTAAGCCTGAGCTGGCATGAATTCATACCCACACATGCAAACACACTCTGAAATGAAGATTGATCACGTCTCTCAGCTTTGATTTGACGCCTCGGAGCTTTGGGGATATTCAGTGTCATGATGAGATGCTTACTGTAAACTGTGTATTTATGTACAGCTAATGTTAACAGTAAATCAAAGTTGTCTGCTTGGGTAATAATATATATTACA